CGTGAAGCATTCGTCGTGAGGAGGAGAGGACCTCTCCTACGAGTAACAATCTTGTGCGCGCTGAGTGCGTGAAACACGACTCGGGGATGAGAACTAATCAGCATCTTCGTGAATGACAGCCATTCAGCATCTGCAAAAACGACCGCCGTGCACCCGTCCTTGCCAAATGTCGCCAGATGTAGGAACCCTAATCAGCGGCAGAGCCGTGTCAAACAGGATCGCCTTCGCGGCTCCGCTGAGGTACATCCAGGTCGCTCTACATAAGACATTATGGTACTGTACTGCAATTCGTTTCCTAACTTTTCCTTGTGGTAGCCAGCAGCCATGCGCAGGGGAGTCTCAATGCAGCGACGCGACTCCAGCTGCATGCGGAAGACCACTTGTCGGGCAGAGCGTGCATGCATAGTGTAACACCTCGCTACCCACTGGGTCAAAACGAGGGTGTTATTTGGCGCAGCGGATTGCCCTTAACACTAGCCCACAGGCGTTACACTCGTCCCCCCCTGGCGCCAACGTCCCCGTTGGCTCTGTACTTCAAGGAGTCGGCCCCCTGCTGCTGGGACCTAGACTTCGCAGTGCTGCTAGCTGCGACTTCGCTGGTTGCTCAGGCCAGCGGAGGATCGTTTGCTGGGTTCGAGCTGGTTACAACCACACTTCAGCTCTCGCCAAAGGCGGAAAGTGTGGTCCAGCCAGGATTCGAACCCTAGGCTCTTATTCCAAATGTAACACCTCGCTACCCACTGGGTCAAAACGAGGGTGTTATTTGGCGCAGCGGATTGCCCTTAACACTAGCCCACAGGCGTTACACATAGTATGGTGCACCGCAAGAACGCTCCCTCCATCTGACAAGTGTAAGGATATCCTCACCACTAGGGACATCCCGCTGGTGGAGCGAGACTTGCGCTAACATCTCTGTCATGCGATATTTAATGCGCTTTATAAATCGTTTACAGTAAGGGTTACGTGGGCTTGAACTAGGGCCCTAGATTCGTTTTGAGGCACGCTGACGGCACAGCGTGCATTCCTCCTAGTACTCTGCCTGTCAGTGTTACTTCAATTTTTTAGGCTGGAAATTCAGAGGCACACAACTTTCCTAGGCTGAACAATCAGCGTTACCTTGAAAATTTGTTACTGATCATGCAGGCTATAAACATTTCCTCACACCTCTGAATCAGAGTCTGACTGACAACGTTCTTCAGGAGCACGATCAGCTACTAGCTCCTCCTCTACATGCTCCTTCCCAGCTCTTGGAGGGTCCCTGTGTCTTGCAGCAGGTGCTGTGACTGGACGGCGCTTCTTGTAGCTGCGCCACACTTTAACTACTCCTGGCAAATCTAGCTCGTAGTCTAGTAATGACATGCACAACAAATCATTGAGCCTACAGTCCTTGATACTGCCTCTCTGCCACGTTTTGATAAGGTTCTGTCGAGAGAAACCTCTCTCACACTCAACAGTGCTGAGAGGCAACACTGCTATCGCCACCCAGAGGTTGACAAGATTAGGATATGCCTGCTGCCAATCGGGAGTCTTGAGGATGGCTGCCAGTCCCGCAGGAAACTTCCGCTCGATCTTAGGAGCTCTGGCCAAGACCGGGCACATAGTCCTCAGCTCCTTGACCGCCCGCTTTTTGTCAATGCCTGCGATATAAGTAACAATGTGGAGGGTATTAGTTCTACGAGAATACAAGTGTCAAACGTGCGCACTGAGTGACCAAGCAAATACTAACCTGGCAGAATCTCGGGCGAGTCGTCGGCGTGAAACAAAGTGGCGAGCGACAGCAGCCACTCTAGACACTGAGCCTGCCTAGCTTGCCGATCCCAGTTCAGTGGCCACATGTCCGGGATGAAGAGCCGCACTCCAGCCAGCGAATTGAGGTCACCAAGCTTTGACTGGAGATTGTTGACGAGCAGCTCGGCCATGTCGGTGCAGAGCGCGACACAGGCGTCATGATGGCCAGGTCCAAGGTAGTTCTTATTGGTATGCTCGTGGAGGTCGAAACGGAAGTGGTTCATGCTGCCGTCCGACGAGGCACCTTCCACCACCATCTGCGGCGACCCTTGTGGCCCGTGCTTGGCGATGAACCGATACAGAAGTTCGCTGGTGCCGCCGCCGAAATCATCGCCACATTCGATGTAGCGGCTCTCCAGGAGAGAGGTTGTGCACAGGATCTGAGCGTGCACGAGTGGGTAGTCGAGCTGCCACACACGAATTACACCAGTAGTTAGTACCAGTGGTTCAAATAACAATAATTTGAAAAACAAATGATTAGTCACTTACCTCTCGATGTTGGAAAACCTTGGAGAGGACGTTCAGCAGATCCAGCACGTCCGCTAGAAACCTCACAAGGAACTGGAAGCGATACGACGTTACCAACTCGTACATCGTCTGGTCCTTCCACTCGGACAGCATCACAATAATGGCGGGCATGACTTGGACGAACCGTGACACTGCAGCACCCCGCAACAGCCATCGAACCTCGTGTATACCTTGCACCTCGAGGTTCGTGGATGTGAAGACCTCTTGGAGCTCCATGAAGCGTTGATGCCAAGGTCCCGAACGCCCAAGGTACTCCGCGACGGCGCGGATGACGTCGTCGATCATGTTGAATGTCGGGATCTCTTCTGCTGCAGCTTTTGCAGCCAATGCTTCTCTGCAAGTAACACAACACACACAAGTTTATTATATAGAGTTATATAACAACACATGCTGTCAAAAAATACAGAGCCAGACTTACCGGTGTGCAATGCAGTAGAACGAGACGAGGTTGGGGATGAGCATTCGGATGCGTGCAACCACTCCTGTATGCTGCCCCACCATGACCATCGCGTCGTCTGTGCTCATGCCCGATATTCGGCGGAGGTCCACGCCGACAGCCCTGAGGTGGGAAAGGAGCAGGCTTGAAAGGGATGCAGCGTCTGCCTTCTCAACAGTGAGAAGGCAGAGGAACTCGGTGACGACAACGCCATCGCGGATGAAGGTGGCAAACACAATCATGTGTTTGCCACTTCGCCAATCGGCGCTCTCGTCCAGCGTGATTCCGATGAAGGGACTCGTTAGAAGATGCTCCAGCTGCGTTGTTTGAAGCCAAGTCGCGATTGCTTGAGTCAGCTCACCAAAGCCGTACCTGTAAATGAAAAAACAGCACGGTAGTGAGCGACAAACGAACTGCAGATGTGAGGTTAATGCTTAGAGAATTGTAAAAACAGGAATCACTTACGTGTTGAAGTACGTGCCGTATCCATTCTCCGAAAACCCGGGCACCTTCTTCTTCGCCAGGTAGCGCACAAGCCGGATCCATGAGTCCATGGGCTCGTTGCACTTGCTCATGAAGTACAACGAATCCACGAGTGCCGAGATCTGCACCATCTCCTTGTCCTGCGCCTTGGGGTGTAGATCGATGCGGCGTTGTCCCTCCACTTTCTGCAGGAGGTCGTCCTGCCTCTGCAGTGCTAACCGATGCTTTGTGGTACCCTCATGCTTCTTGAAAGCTTGCGTCTGCACGTCGGTAGCGCCTTCTCCACGCCGTCCACATTTGCCTGCCAATCCCGCGAATTCCAAGCAGATGCTGCACTTAAAAGAAGGGGCACCAGCAGAATTCTTAGTTAGTATCAGCCATGGATAATCCGTACACCACCTCGACTTGAAACGGTCGTGCGCTTCTTCGTATTTCAGTTCAACTTTCTCGGGACGGGGTTTGGAGCTGTCCTGATGGGGTGATTCCTCTGCCACAGGAGCATGAACACTCGAAGCAGGTGGTGGAGTTCCCCACGCAATGGTGGACTGCCGTAAACGCAGCTTCGGTAGTGGCGCGAGACGGGATGGAGTTTCGACGGACGCATCATGTAGTTCCGTCTGAGGCGTGCTAGTCACATGCTCAATGGCGGCTTCGGGCAGAGAATCCAGGTCCACAGATTCAGGAGCGTGACTCGTGCTGGGCAGAGACGGTGCCGCTGGCGGTGCACAGGGCGTGGCTAAGGACGACTTAAGAAAGTCCAGGCCCGTCGCCATGTCGCCTAGACGGCGACGACCTACATCGTCGTCGTCGTCCAGCTCGTCGGCAGCAGTGTCTGTGGCAGCCATAGAGTCTGCCGAGCAGTGTTTTGCTAGGTTGGGAGAAGCTGCCTGAAACGGGGGATCAGGCAGTAGTAACAGGGGAGGTCAAAGATCTGAAGGGAGAGCCGGGCGACAGAGGGAATTGCAGGAACAGTCACGATGGGAGAGGTGAGGAGGTCCCCTTTTTAGGACCTCAGTGTGAAACCCTCACTGCTCCTTGCATGCACGTCACTTGGTCGTGTATGCAGCGCAGGTGGGGTGGGGTGGATGGTTGTGGTGTCGTGCGTGGCGCAGTGCGCTGCGAGCTATGCGTTAGCAAGGAATGTTGCCAACGCTGGTTGCTGCACAGGCCCGATTGGTTGGAAATGTCGCTGATGGCAGCTTTGCTGTACCAACGCGACAGAGCGGTGCCGCGGTGGGGAAATACAGTTTACCGGCCGTGATTGACGGTGTTATACATACACACCGCCTCGCTGGCCAGAATCCCCGTAATCCCGGTTTCAGAGTGCACCCCCGATAGTAGGCTGAGGCTCAGCGTACACTCATACTTTGAGGCTGTAAAAACAGAGAAGGCATATAAAAAAACTATGGAAAAGCAGCCAACATACATTTAAAAAAACTTCGTCTTCAGCCTAGTGTATCAAAAAAAGCCTGATCTAACGCTGAATCAGCGTAAAAAGTCTGATACCTAGGGCCCTGGCTTGAACTTAGAACGGTAACAAATATGGGCTTGAAAATGCAGTCATCTGTACACTATTTTCTAGGCTCTAACTTTTGATAACTACGTTCACGACAACTTTGGTAACAATACTGATAACTAGATAGATCATGTAAACGTTTCAAAAATCTTGCTAAGACCTAAAATTTTTTCGCTTATTTCAAATTTTATCAAACAGAAAAAAGGTCGTTTATCTGGGAGACGATGGCACCTTTCATCACTCCACCCATCAAGCTGCCTGCTTTCTGCGCTTGCTACCACCAGCACCACTCACCACCTTCCTCCCAGCCTCACTTGCCGCCTTTCCAGATCCCCCCTCTGCCGCAGCCTTGCTTTTCCCACCCTGTCCCGGTGTGGGCTCAGACTTTTCACTTGCGGTTGCTCTTTTTGCCTCTGTCGGTGTCTCTTCTGCCTCTGTTGTGCCACCACCCGCTACAGTCACACCTGTGAGCTTGCGCTTGGAGCTTGGAGGCCCTGGATGGATGCATGATGGAATAGGAAGCATCTGTAAAGAAGCACATTCAATAGAACTGAGACGATCCATGCATGATAAAACCGGAAGCATACATGAACGCACATTCAAGAGAATTGACTTATGAGTCAACTCAAAAATCACCTCGTGGCTTGGAGGCCCTGGATGGATGCATGATGTAATCGGAAGCATATGTAAAGAAGCACATTCAATAGAATTGAGACGTGCCGAGCAATCCATCGATCTTCGTGTGAAGATCTTCAGTGTTGAGCAACCCAGCTGCTCCGGACACCTGCTGCCTCACCTGACCGAACCACTTGTTTCCTCACCTTACCGAACCACTTGTTGCCTCACCTGACCGAACCACTTGTTTCCTCACCTTACCGAACCACTTGTTGCCTCACCTGACCGAACCACTTGTTGCCTCACCTGACCGAACCACTTGTTGCCTCACCTGACCGAACCACTTGTTGCCTCACCTGACCGAACCACTTGTTGCCTCACCTGACCGAACCACTTGTTGCCTAACCTGACCGAACCACTTGTTGCCTCACCTGACCAAACCACTTGTTGCCTCACCTGACCGAACCACTTGTTGCCTCACCTGATGCGGCAGTTTCAGGTGCCACCCCTTCTGGCAGGAAGCAGAGGAAGTTGAGTGGCTGCTTCAGAAACACCTGTGCCGGGGTGGTGGCAACACAAGGCGATGCAGGAAAGGGAGTAGCAAACGTCAGCACGAAAATGCAACGCTTATCAAGGGGCTAGCAAAATGGGAGGAGACACCTGGTGGGGAATGGGAAGGGGCAGCTGGTGGAGGAAAACAAACAGCTAGCAGGTGCCCGAAGTTAGCGACCAGGGTGCAACATGGCAATCAGAATGCATATCGAGCTAGCGTCCCAAAACCCCTCTCACTCGACGTGGCAACCTGAATCTCTACATTCCTACCAGCGATAAGCCCAAGGGGTGTACGCTATGTAAACCCTTTGTCTACATTCTCGCCTGCTTGAGCAGCAGCCCCTTGGCAACGAGGCATACCTTGGCAACGAGGCATACCTTGGCAACGAGGCATACCTTGGCGACGAGGCCTACCTTGGCAACGAGGCATACCTTGGCAACGAGGCATACCTTGGCAACGAGGCCTACCTTGGCAACGAGGCCTACCTTGGCAACGAGGCCTACCTTGGCAACGAGGCATACCTTGGCAACGAGGCCTACCTTGGCAACGAGGCATACCTTGGCGACGAGGCCTACCTTGGCAACGAGGCATACCTTGGCAACGAGGCCTACCTTGGCAACGAGGCCTACCTTGGCAACGAGGCCTACCTTGGCAACGAGGCCTACCTTGGCAACGAGGCCTACCTTGGCAACGAGGCCTACCTTGGCAACGAGGCATACCTTGGCGACGAGGCCTACCTTGGCAACGAGGCCTACCTTGGCAACGGGGCATACCTTGGCGACGAGGCCTACCTTGGCAACGAGGCGGCGCGTGTGCAGATGGTGTATGCGCACATAACGATCGAGACCTGGTGGAGGGAGGGAGGGGGGATGAAGAGAGAGAGAGAGAGGCGAACAGCAGAGAGATGCGGGGATGTGGGGGGAGAGCGGAGTGTGCAGTGCAGGTGGTGGCTGCGCACATAACGGTCCAGGCCTGGTGGAGGTGTGGGACGAGAGAGGCAGGCAGACCGTGAGGGGTGGTAAAAGGGAGTAAGGTTGGCGACAAGGCAGTGCATGTGCACATGGTGGCTGCGCACATAACGGTCGAGGCCTGGTGGAGGGGGGGGGGGCGGGTGGAAGAAGCAGGTAGGCAGAAAAAAGGGCTTGAGATTCACGTGAGTGCAGGTGGTGTATGCACACAGAACGGTCGAGGCCTGGTGGAGGGGTGACGGTGGAATGGGAGGAGAGTGGCAGGCAGTGTGTGAAAGGGTGGCGAAGAATGGGGTTGGCAATGAGTTGAGTGTGTAGGTGGTGCATGCTGCACGTCGTGTGCAGTGCACGGTGGTGCATGCGCACATAACGGACCAGGCCTGGCGGAGAGGTGAGGGCGGAATGGGAGGAGAGTGGCAGGCAGCAGTGCGAGGGTTTAAGGTTCACTGAGTGCGCTGGTGGTGGATGGGATGGGAGATAACAGGCCAGCGTTGTGTGTATGCGAGTGTAGAGAGGATGAGGCAAGGAGTGCTGGGGAAAGGGGAGAGAGTGATGGGGAAGAGAGGCAAGCAGCAGTGATTGGGCAGGTGGTCGATGGCAAGACAACAGGTCCGCCTGGTGCCTATGCGAGTGGACAGAGGATGAGGGCGAGGGTAGAAACCTTCGAAAGGGTTGTGGAGTTGTAGACCTGCCAAAGGTCTTTCAGGAAGACAGGGGTTCTCAAATTTCCCCTTGTACAGAGGATGAGGGCGAAGGGTGAGGGGTGTACCTAGCAAGGGGCGACGGGTGCGCAAGGGGTGGAGGGTTCAAGACTGCGGAGGTGATGTGGAAGAAGGGAAGGTGCCAAGTGAAGGGAAGGTGGCAGGTGTAAGGGAAGGTGCCAGGTGTAAGGGAAGGTGCCAGGTGTAAGGGAAGGTGGCAGGTGTAAGGGAAGGTGGCAGGTGTAAGGGAAGGTGCCAGGTGTAAGGGAAGGTGCCAGGTGTAAGGGAAGGTGCCAGGTGTAAGGGAAGGTGGCAGGTGTAAGGGAAGGTGCCAGGTGTAAGGGAAGGTGCCAGGTGTAAGGGAAGGTGGCAGGTGTAAGGGAAGGTGCCAGGTGTAAGGGAAGGTGCCAGGTGTAAGGGAAGGTGGCAGGTGTAAGGGAAGGTGCCAGGTGTAAGGGAAGGTGCCAGGTGAAGGGAAGGTGGCAGGTGAAGGGAAGGTGGCAGGTGAAGGGAAGGTGGCAGGTGAAGGGAAGGTGCCAGGTGAAGGGAAGGTGGCAGGTGAAGGGAAGGTGGCAGGTGAAGGGAAGGTGGCAGGTGAAGGGAAGGTGGCAGGTGAAGGGAAGGTGGCAGGTGAAAGGAAGGTGGCAGGTGAAGGGAAGGTGGCAGGTGAAGGGAAGGTGGCAGGTGAAGGGAAGGTGGCAGGTGAAGGGAAGGTGGCAGGTGAAGGGAAGGTGGCAGGTGTAAGGGAAGGTGGCAGGTGTAAGGGAAGGTGGCAGGTGTAAGGGAAGGTGGCAGGTGTAAGGGAAGGTGCCAGGTGTAAGGGAAGGTGCCAGGTGTAAGGGAAGGTGCCAGGTGTAAGGGAAGGTGGCAGGTGTAAGGGAAGGTGCCAGGTGTAAGGGAAGGTGGCAGGTGTAAGGGAAGGTGCCAGGTGTAAGGGAAGGTGCCAGGTGTAAGGGAAGGTGGCAGGTGAAGGGAAGGTGGCAGGTGAAGGGAAGGTGGCAGGTGAAGGGAAGGTGCCAGGTGAAGGGAAGGTGGCAGGTGAAGGGAAGGTGGCAGGTGAAGGGAAGGTGGCAGGTGAAGGGAAGGTGGCAGGTGAAGGGCGGAGAGGGAAAAGTTGCAACAAGTGCTGTGGGGAGGGTTGTAGGATGGTGGGGTGAGCTTTTGAGACATCTGAAAAAGTCTATTTATCACGTGGTGAAGGTTGGGGAGGGACAAGCTGCAAGTAGTGCTGCAGGAGAGTTGTAGGTTGGTGAATGAGATGAGAAACAGGGGCAGCCCGGGAGAAAGTGTGACGGTATAGACTTGCCAAGGGGTTTTCTAACACCTTCAGGAAGACATGGCAAACAACGAGGCACGAGGCGCGTGCTACTCGCCTCGCTTTACCTGATTCGTTAGAGAATCGAGGCAAGGCGAGCATGTGGTGGCGGGTACTGTTCGCGATCGGCCGACTCGTTAATCGTTCCAAAAAAAGAGAGGTACAATTTTATTGCAGCAATGTTGAAATCACTTTTGAGAGTTGCAAATAACTATTTCTTGTTACTCGTCCAAAAAGAAGAGTAGTAAAAGACTCGTAATCACGCAAGAATTTGAAACATTGCTATCTGGAGCTCGCGTGAAGTGCAAACACATACATACCGCATGAGGCTACAAGAGGCAGCGATGGGTGCATGGCGAGGGAACGAATGGAGCCCGCACACTCGCCCTTGAACGCTCCAGCGATGCGACCTGTGGCATGCACGTGGTGGTGTGTGCAGCGGGGTGCAGGGAAAAGGGGAGGAGAGGAGGGTAGGGAAGGGATGGGAAAGGAAGCGCTCTCGCCCTTGAATGCTCCAGTGGTGCGACCTGCACCGTGCATGTGGTGGTGTGCAGCGGGGAACAGGGGAAGGGAGTCGAGGCGGGGCGGGTAGGCAAGGCCAGGGGAGAGGACAGGAGGGGAAGGGATTGCAGAGGAAGGTGGGGGAGGGAGAGGCGGGTAGGGGAGGGGAGAGGAGGAAAGGAAAGGGGAGGGGGGAGGTGGGGGAGGGGAGAGGAGAGGGGGATAGGGGCGGGAATGGGAGGGGAGGGGAAGGGAGGGAAGAGGAGGGGATGGGACTTTTTTAACGAGCCAAAGTTCACCGATTGTGGCTCTGGATGGTGCTGTTGAATGCTACCCGATGCGAGTGCGACAGAGGAAGCAGGTCAGTGCGGTGCCAGTGCTGCTGCCAACCAATCAGAGCGCAGTGCAGGGTGCTGCAGCAGGTCACGGAGGTGACAATGCATGGTTGGAGAGAGAAAGACGGTCCGAGATAGGTGCAGTACGGACTCGACTCGACCATTGCCCATGCCTTGCAACAGGTGCAGGAGAAGTGAGAACCTTGAATCCTCCACCGCACCGCAACACCCTCTTTTCACGCCTGGGTGTGAGTAGTCTAGTTTTAAGTTTTGAGGGTACATTCGTATCCCGTGTCAGACATGAGGTCTGACACGAAGTGAATGCTCGGAAGACACGACGTGGCTCAAAATTCAGGCAAATTTAGGTTCGGAAGACACAAACCGAGTCACTTTGTGTCTTCCGAACCTCCAAGTTCGTGTCTGACACGGGATACGAATGAACCCTGCGACGTCTCAAAAGTCGCAACACCCTCTTTTCAAGCCTGGGTGTGAGGAGTCTAGTTTTGAGGCACATCAAAAACAGGTGCAGTACAAGTGAGAACCTTGAATCCTCCACCGCAACATTTTTGAAAGTTATCAAAAGTGACTCCCAGGTGAGGAGAATCTTGAATCCTCCACCGCAACATCCTCTTTCACTCCTGCCCCATGTGACCCCCATCCCCATGTGACCCCATCCGCATGTGACCCCATCCGCATGTGACCCCATCCGCATGTGACCCCATCCTCATGTGACCCCATCCTCATGTGACCCCATCCCCATGCGACCCCATGACATAACTGATTCACGTTGATCCGAACTGCATTCACTGCAGTGCATGGTAGCACCTGGTAGCACCTGGTAGCACCTGGTAGCACCTGGTAGCACCTGGTAGCACCTGGTAGCACCTGGTAGCACCTGGTAGCACCTGGTTGCACCACATCCCACTCACAGCCACTGACTCACCGTGTGTCAGGTCGACCAGCTTCATTTCTCCCATGCCCGTCCCGACCGTCACCGCACTGCATTCCTCCCCACCACCCTTGCTCCACACAGCAGCAAGGGATCGAATCGGCACAGTGCCCAGAGAAACAACTCTGAGAGGGCGCGGCTGCAAGAGCAGGTCAAAGACGCGAAGGGAGTTGTCCAGACAGGCGGTGACGAGGCGCGCCGGGTGGCATGCGCTGACGTGGCACACCGCTGTCACGTGCTTTGGTGCCACCACACCGTACGGGCTTGGTAGCGGCTGGGGGGGGGGGGGGTGAGAGGCAGGGGGGAGGCAGGGGAAGGGGGTTTTGATTGAGGGATGAGAGAAAGGAGGCTTGAATATCTTGGCGCAACTATGCGTATGCCCTCACGAGAAGCTTGGGGGGTGAAGGGGGATGTGGGAGGGGGGCCAGTATTGGAAGGTGGGGTGAGTTTGCAGAGGATAGGAAGGAGAGAAAGGAGAGAAAGGAGAGAAAGGAGGCCCGAACACACGCCATATCAGACAGGGAGTGGCTGGGGGCATGTTGTGCGGGCAAGGGCGTGGGAGAGTTTGGAGAGGGAAATGGGAGGAGTATGCAGTGAATGGAGATCCAGAAAAGGGGGAGGCAGAAAGGGTAACACAAGGCGAAGGAAGGAAAACAGGGAAATGGAGGGAGGGAGGCAGCGAGAGGCAAGTGCACCCACCAGCTTGGCCTCCCACTTGAGTGAACCCGTTTGAAGGTCCCACACTGTCAGGTCCGCTTCCTTGCTGCCGTGCGGTGGGGAAACAGAAAGGGCACAGGATGGATGCCGTACAGAAGGGGGTGAGGGGGAGAGAAGAAGTGATTATAAGGAGGGTGAAAACGGGGCAAGAGCGGTGCCACACTGTCAGGTCCGCTTCCCTCCTGCAGTGTAGTGAGTTACACAGTCGGGTGGGCGCGATATTGATCACAAAAACACGTGAGGGGACAGCGAGGGGCGAAGAGAGAGGGTTAGGGCGTGGAGAAGGAGTTGGAGCATGATAATGGAAAGAAACGATGAGGGTAAGAGAGGGGTGAAGAAAGAAGTGAGAGAGAGGAGATTGAGAAGCAGCGGAAGCAAGACGACGAGGAGAGGAAGGCGGATAAGAGAGGAGAGCACTGACTGACCCGCCAACGGCGATGGTGGCTCCAGTGGGGTCGACAGCAGCACACAGCAGACGCGGCCTCTCTGCTCCCCCTGCTGCACCGCTGGTAGAAGGAGCAGCAGCACCATTGGCAGCACCATTGGCAGCACCATTGGCAGCACTAGCAGCACCAGCAGCAGTAACTGTGTTATCACCTGAGCTGCCTCCCGCAGCTGACTCGCCGCCCAAGTCATTCTCAGCGCTGCCTTGCCGCTTCCTCTTCTTTTTTGACGGCTTGCGCGGTGCAATCGCCACAAACCGCCGCACCAGCCGATGCTCTGCCACCCACTCTGTACCCTCTTCCCTCCCCTTTTCCCCCTCTTCTCCTCCTCCCTCCTCCTCGCCCTCACTCACCTCCTCCCCTTCCTCCAACTCCTCCCCCTCCTCCAACTCCTCGTCCCTCCCGTTCCCCCTCTCTCCCTCCCCCACCCTCTCAGCCCCACCACTTTCCCCCCTAGGCACCAGCGCCACCTCTCGCACGCACACCAGCCCGTTGTGTGACACAGACACAAGCATCCACACCTGTCTCCCCCCCTGCTCTTCCTGCTCTCCTTGCTCCCCCTCTTCCCCTGGATCGGCTGTGCCTTCATCTGTGGCGTCACCTCTTGGCGTGGCAGCATCATTGGGCCGGTGGGGAATGAGGGAGAGCGAGCAACATGCACCATCCAAACTCGGATCCGCCAGTCCCCAACGCCCCACAGATAAAGCCTGTTGCCCCTCTCCTCCTACACCGCCTGCCTCCCTGCCCTCCCCCTCCTCCTGTCCCGCCTCCCCCTCCCCCTGCTCACCCTCCCCCTCCCTGCATTGGCTACCGCTCTGCACCGCTGCGCACCCCTCGCCCTGAAGGCAGCCCTGCCAGGCGGGAAAGGAGAGCAGCAGGCGGACGTGGGGAGAGGTGCTGACAGGAGGGGCAGCACCGACGCCTTCACCCCCCTCTGCCGCCACCCCTGCAGTTGCTGCTGCTGCTGATTCTGCTGGTGCTTCTACTGTGGATGGAGCGGGCGTTGAAAGGAGCAACACGTCAACCTGCATAAAGGGGCGGGGGTGTAGAGAACGTAAGGATGGCGTGAGGATAGAGAGAAGTGGCAAAGAAAAAGGTGGGGCATTGAGTGGGGAAGAAAGATGCATGTGTAAACGTCCGGTGGCAGGAGGCAGTGGTAGCGGAGCGGAAAGAAAGCAATGCGGAAAAGGAAACATTGGCAATCGATAGGCAAAGTGTGCTTTGCTGACACATGGTGCATCCCCTCGAGCAGCATTGCATCCAAATGCCAACCTTTCCCTCACCCCCAAAAAATCTGCCCTGCCCGGCGTTCCCTCAAACCCCAGGCTGCTCTGTTATGCCTTTTCTACAACCCTCAACCCCCCATGCCATCTGCCACAATCTACCAGTCCGGCCCTGCCACGATCTGCCAACCACACACGGAGGGATGGAAAGAAGACCTTCAACCAGTCTGCCCTGCCTCCTCTAAAACCCCGAACCCTTAACCTGCCATGTCATGCCCACTCTGAAACCTCGAACCCACCATGCCATGCTTGCGGGCGACTACCACAATCTGCCAATCCACACAGAAGAAGAAACGGAAGCAAAGGAAAGGAAGTCGCATTTCATCATCTAATGACCAAGATTCATATTGAGTAACATATTATTGAAGAACGCCGTCTAACTGAAGAAGATCTCACTGCTTACTGACTCAAAGGGGTGGGAGGGAGGGTGGAGGGGAAAGCTGCTCCGACAGATTGTAAATCCCGAAACCCCTGAGCGCTGGTCCATCCTGTCACACCTGCTTGATGTTTCAGAACCACCTTCCCCACTCAAGCCAATGCCAAAACAAGTGCTTTGGGAAAGCTTAAACCCCGATGCCGTAAGCTCCACGCAACACTATCCGACACCTGTCGTCCACGACAGCTCACACCAGGTTTAGATTACTGTTGAAACCCGCTTTAAGCCCTTCGGCCATCTAAACCCTTAAACCTCAGCACTCACTCACCGACGACCGCTCGTCTACCGCCACACACGCCGAAGAACACACTGCCGAACGTCCCTTATCCGCTTCCCCGAACCTAACCACCTCGGACTGCGCCGAACCGGACGCGCCGGTTCGGGGCCCTGCGGGTTCTGCTGCGGCGCCTTTATTCTGCCCGAGAGAAACCACTGCGGGGGCGAAGGGAGGAAGGGAAGGACAAGGCTCGATTGGCGAAATGCACGAACGTTGAATACAGCCCGGCATTTCGTCCAGGGAGGGGGAGAGTGGCGGGGCCTGGCGAGAGGTGAGAGACGCGAGGCGCGTAGCGAAGTCGCGTCGCGAGATGGGCGAGGGCGGGGCGAGAAGACTTTCGAAAGAGCTAGTCGCGCAAAGAATCGCCACGCGATCAGCGCGAAGATTCGATCGCTGATGGGTGTACCTTTGAGTAGCCCGAGCTCGTCGCCCGTTAGCAGTCGCACAGGCGGGCATGCGACGACTTCGCCGCGATCGACCTTCGGCATGGCTGGAGGTAGCGACGGCCGTCGCAGGGTGGGTCTGCGACTCGATCAGCACGGGATGCTGTGGGATGAGATCGTAAGGGCGCGTGTGATCAAAGTTCGAACTTCCCAAAGTTCGAACTTTTAGAAAGGTTCTACACGGTAGGATACAATTGAGCGATGTCTCTCCACGATGCAAAGCGGTTTGAGTTCGAACTTTGACAAAAATCCTTGGATCACACGCGCCCTGTCTAGGATGTGCCAACCGTGATTGAACCCGAATCGGAGAGCGTGCTTCTGACGAGATTTTGAGTCCCTCCTGTATTTGGTACTTCACAGCCGTTTCGTGAGAGTTTTTCAATTCAACTTCCAGATTGCTACACTCAAACGGTATCTTTCACCCAACCGATAATAACGAGTACAAGCTCCTTCCCTGTCGCCTCGCCAACTTTTGGCAACCTATTTCAATCGGTACTCTTTGGCGAAGCAAGCAATGCCCGCTGACCTAAACCGGAAGTAGGACGTTCGTTGATTCCTCATTCGACCCGCGAGCGGAACGCGGACACCAGCGCTCCGATTATTCCGAAAGTGTACCGATCGGAGCGAGGCGAGAATCATTACCGTATATCTAGAATTGCTTTGTGGATGAGCTATCGAGTCAGCATAGTGGAAAAGGTAACAAGGTATTCGTGCCAGGCGTCTCATGCAACTTAGCGGAGGGCGCCCGTAGTGAAATTAGTGTTCGAATTGGAAGAGAGGGTGAGGGGAAGGAGGCTCGACGCCATTACAAGCGGCGGAAGGGGCGGCGCGGATTTAGGTGTGTAGTACCGGCGGAAGGAGGGACGCGAGGGGAGGAGCGGTGCGCGTGCTGCGAGCTGTCGAAAGGCGTTACCATGGCGAGTGCGAAAGGCGGCGACGGAGGTGGCGAGCTGGACTTGTCGCGAGCTAATCAGGGCGTGTGGCTGATGAAGGTGCGAGAGGGGCTGAACAGAACGCCGACGACAAAGCAAAGCACATCGTGAACCTGTTTTTTGGCGGACAGGTGACTCAAAGGGGGCGACAAGCCAAGACAACCTTCCTCCTGCCCCCTTGCCTCATCACTCTCTCCCCCCTCTCCCCCCTGCCCCTTTACCAACACCCCCGTGCGCACACCCCCCCTCACCTCCTTCACACCTTCTTCCCCCCCTCCCCCCCACTGCAGGTACTACAGTTCGTGGCGAACAGATGGCACTAGGCGAGGGCAAATCAAACTCTTCATGTTCCCTTCCCCCTCTTCCCCCTCTTCCCCCTCTTCCCCCTCTTCCCCCTCTTCCCCCTCTTCCCCCTCTTCCCCCTCTTCCCCCTCTTCCCCCTCTTCCCCCTCTTCCCCCTCTTCTGCCCCTCTTACTCTTGTGCGCGGGGAAGAGGGGGGGGGAGGAAGTGGAGGGGAGGGCGGGGGGAGAGGAGGGGAGGGCGTGGGAAGAGGAGGGGAGGGGAGGGGGGGAGGGGGAGGGGGGGAGAAGAGGAGGGGAGAGGGAGGGAAAAAGATGGGAGGGCAAGGGAAGAGTAAGAGAGAAGGGAGGAAGAGGAGAGGAAGGAATGCGAGGAAGAGGAGATCGAGAGGGAGGAGGAAAAACATCCATTCTCTCTTCTATTCTCTCCTCCTCTTCTTCCTCCTCTCTCCCCCCCTCCTCTTCCTCTCATATCTTCCCCTACTCTTCCTCCCTTCTCTCTTCCTCTTCCCTTGCCCTCCCCTCTTTTTCCCTCCCTCTCCCCTCCTCTTCTCCCCTCCTCTTCTCCCCTCCTCTTCTCCCCTCCTCTTCTCCCGCCCTCTTCTCCTCTTCTCCCGCCCTCTTCTCCTCTTCTCCCGCCCTCTTCTCCTCTTCTTCCGCTCGCCCTCTTCTCCTCTTCTTCCGCCCTCTTCTCCTCTTCTCCCCGCCCTCTTCTCCTCTTCTCCCGCCCTCTTCTCCTCTTCTCCCGCCCTCTTCTCCTCTTCTCCCGCCCTCTTCTCCTCTTCTTCCGCCCTCTTCTCCTCTTCTTCCGCCCTCTTCTCCTCTTCTCCCGCCCTCTTCTCCTCTTCTTCCGCCCTCTTCTCCTCTTCTTCCGCCCTCCCCTCCTCTTCTCCCCCGCCCTCTTCTCCTCTTCTTCCTCCCCTCCTCTTCCCCTGCCCTCCCCTCCTCTTCCCCTGCCCTCTCCTCCTCTTCCCCCCTCCCCCCGCCCTCCCCTCCTCTTCCCCCGCCCTCCCCTTCTCTTCCCCCGCCCTCCCCTCCTCTTCCCCCGCCCTCCCCTTCTCTTCCCCCGCCCTCCCCTTCTCTTCCCCCGCCCTCCCCTTCTCTTCCTCCGCCCTCCCCTTCTCTTCCTCCCCCCTCCCCACCTCTACCAGTGCAAGCCTTCTTGTGCGGCTGCCTTATCGCTCGCTCCTTCTCCCCCCTTGCCCCCCCCGTCCACTGCACTGCAGGTACCACAGTTCGTGGCGGGCAGAAGGTACAAGGCTGGTGACAAGCCAACCTTGTTCCTCTCCCCTTGTCTCATCGCTCCCTCTCTCCCAGCCTCTCCCCGCATCTCCCCCCTCCCCCCTCTTCCCCCCACTGCAGGCGCCTCAGTTCGCGGCGGACACATGGCACAAGGCGGAATACGAGCCAACCTTCCCGCTCCCCCACCCCACCCCACCTACTCTCCCCCCCAAGGTTAAAAAATACGACCCAAATTTTGAAATTCCGCCGTATTATACGGTTTTGTATTATACGATGGTTTAAAACGGTTTAGTACGGTCATCTGTTGCAATTTCGTTTCGAATAAAAATACGGTGGTTTTTTCCGGTCGAAACTTTAGAACCATGCAGTATAAACGGAATTGCAACATTTAAACAATTTCGCTCTTTATATGGGGGATTTCTTGCCCAATCTTATCAGTCCCGCCATTGTTTGGGACGAGTCGCGCATGTCAGAAACATGTCGAGGCGCGACATGTCTGACATTTGACGAAAGGGGGGAAATGCATACCCGTTTCGCAGAGTCGTTAGGGTCGTTCGCCGAATCGCGCCCAGAACAATTTGTCGAGGCGCGTCGTTTTTCAGAATTGGCGAACTCACCCAATTTTTTTACCCGTTTCGCCGAGTCATCAACACAACTCGCGCCCTTTAATTCGATTTCGCATTCAATCATGGCGCTCCACACATTTTCGTGCGACACATTTCCAGCCAATAACAATCGCCCATTCCACTTCCATCTCATCTCATCCATTCTCCAAATCTCCCTTCGACAATACAGCGCCATCAAGGAGTAAGAGGTACACATTGCTGCTGGAAAAACCCACTCGACACATTCAACCTCTCTCTCGCTGCCTCAAGTCTATATCGCTGATCTCTGACCCACTCGTTCTTAGCATAGTGTTTTTAGGACGCCATGGTGCGTCCCGCTTCGGAGTTTTGGGAGCATGTCAAGAAGATTAAGGATGCAGACGACAAAGTAGTTGGTGCAACCTGCATCCATTGCTCACTTCCTGTGACGGCTAATGCGACTAGGATCCGCGAGCACATACTCGGCACTAACAAGAAGGATAAAAACGTCGCAGTGTGCAAGTCGGACTACGCTAAGCAGAGACGGGCGACAGCCGATCATGAGCGCTCAACCACGGGAAATGGTACGGGTGGTACGGGAGGATCAAACCGTGCCTCCACGTCCACGGTGGAGGCTCCGCCCACGCGTCACGCTCGGCAGCGAGATATCCGTGAAATGTCGGATGAAGTTGCGCAGACTTGTCTGGATTACCTGTGGCCTGCTGCAGTTGCCGAGAACGACCTCGCCTTCAACGTCAGCAAGTCAAAGTCGATGCAGGCCTTCGTTGACGCGGTGATCATGTACGCTAAATCGTACACCCTCCCCACCCCGTACAAGGTGTCCGGCCCGCTGCTCGACAAGCTGAAGGCGGACTCGGAGGACCTTGTGCGGCCGCTGAAGGATAGCTGGAAGACAAGCGGGTGCACGCTCTCCATCGATGGGTGGACATGCATCAAATCCCGCGGTTTGGTGTGTGTAATCGCCCTTAATGACACTGCACCCGTCATCGTCGACATCGTCGATTCGAAGACCGCAAAAAAAACCGGGGACTACTTGGCGGGTCTTATTGTGGGAGCGATCAAGACGGTGGGGCCGAATCATGTCGTCTAAGTCGTGATGGACAACGCTACGAACAACAAGAACGCCGCCAACAAGCTACGCGTGGAGTATCCGCATATCTTCTTCACCAACTGCGCCGCCCACTGCCTAGATCTCATGTTGCACGACATCGGCAACATCCCTGCTGTAAAGCGCGTCCTTGCGCAGGTGCACAGTGTAGTGATGATGATCAAAGGCTCCACGTCGGTCGTCGTGTTGTTCCGTGAGCTTTTTACCAAGCTCTCGTTGGTGCGGCCGGGTGCAACGAGATTCGGCACCCAGGTCATCATGCTCGACAGGTTCCTGGAGGTGAAGCGCGCGTTAAGAGCGATGGTAATCAGCGAGGAGTGGGAGGGTGTGGCGGTGGCACGGACGGAGGAGGGGATGGAGGTTAGGAAGCTGCTTTTGGATGATGTTTTTTGGGACTGTGGGACGTCCGTGCTGCGCCTCATGACTCCGGTCTACGAGGTTCTTCGCGCCGTTGACACATGGGCTCAAGTCATGGGGCAGCTGTACGGCCTCATGCTCGAGGCTACGGTGAAGACGACCAAAGCGGCCGAGGAGGCTGGTAAGAGGACCGGCGGAAAGCATGATGATGTGGTATAAACAGTCATTCTCCCCATACATCCGCTCATTCTTTTTGGCTAATTAGTTCTCGTTATACATTGTGTGCAGCCGCACACTTCATCAAGCGGACGGGTCTGCCATCAAGTCGATCATAGCCAGGAGGTGGGACGCTCAACTGCACAACCCCCTGCACGCCATCGGTTGGCTCCTCAACCCCCGTAACCAGTACATCGAGGAGGTAAGGAACGATCCCGAGATTAGGAAGGGGATGGATGAGGTAATCCAAGCCCGGGGAGGGGATGTGCAGCAGCGCATAACCCTAGCTGCACAGGCTCAGTTTCACCGAGGGGAGGGCAGGCTGGGCTCTCACGATGCCCGTTGGGCAGCAACGACCTTGGTGGAGGCGGGGCACATGACGGATGCGGAATGGTGGTTCCTGTTTGGTGGGGATGTGCAGGCGCTCCAAGACCTGGCTGTGACGTCACTCTCACAGCCAGTCACCTCCTCCGAGGTGGAGCGCTATTGGTCGGCGCTGGCACGTGTGCAGAGGCGCGACCGGAACCGCCTCACGGCGCAGAAGATGACTGACGTCACCTTTGTCGCCTTCACCTGGCGGGCCCGTGATGCCTATGATCGAAAGGCAGCCCTGCGTTCCAAGCTCTATCAGGACCTGGGCAACGGCACCCTCAGGGAAGGGGCTGCCATCATCCCGGCCGAAGTGGAGGAGGAGGAAGGGGATGCTGAAGAGGAGGGACAAGTGGAGGAGGAGGAATGCACCATTGATTGATCGGAATATGGACGCATCGGGTTGAAGAGGAAAGGGAAGGCGGGTGAGTCATCTAAAGGGAAGAAGAAGGGGAAGGGCAACGGTGCATGCAGTGGAAAGGGGAAAGGAAAAGCACGGGATGCGGAAGAGGAAGAGGAGGAGGAAGACAGCGGTGGGGAGGAGGAAGAGCCTGCCCAGAATCCCAAGGGACGAAGAGGAGGACGAGGACGAAGAAGAGTATGAGTAGAGTAGTGAAGGGACAACCACATGCCAGGGTTGCAGCGACGGTTTGAATGGGGAGGAGGAAGAGGAGGACCAGGTGCTGGAGTAGGAAGAATAGAAGGGAGGTTGAGTATAGTGGGGATGGATTTAGGCCCTATGGAGGGACTTGCCTAGGTAGGCATGCATGCATGCATAGTAAGGGTAGCGTCATTAGCAGTAGACCTTTGCAGGCCTGTTTCTCCTTAGAGTAGGTTGTTATTGCCTTCGTAGTCATTGCTGTAGCAATTTTAGTAGATTCTGGAAAAAATCCCGTGACAAAAAATGGCCAACAAAAAAACGGCAGAAAGTTTGCCAAACACACCGTATTATACCATCGAAAAAAACGGCCCGTATAATACAATCGCCGTATTTTTAATCCTTGCTCCCCCCCTCTGCAGGTACCCCAGTTTGTTGCGGACAGGTGGCACAAGGCGGGGGACAAGCCTGCCGGGGAGGCAGCAGCGGGAGGAGGTACGGCGCAGGGCGCCCCCGCCACGCCTCCCCCACCAGGGGGAGGGGCGGGGGCGGGGGGAGTGGGCGTGGTGGGGCGCGTGCGCATGGCGTTTGACCCGCGCGCTCGACCCCAGGGCGGACAGGCTGCCACCCAGGTGGAGTGACTATAACGAGGGGCTGTTGCCAAGGTGACTATATCGAGGGGCTGTTACTATTCAGGTGACTGGCGAAGGGCTGTCTGTTACCCATGTGGCAATAACGAGGGGATGCCACTCCTTTAAGGCGGATCCTCACATTCACAACTGTCTGTCTGTCTGTCTGTCTGTCTGTCTGTCTGTCTGTCTGTCTGTCTGCCGTCCCTGCTCTCGTCTTCTCTCACTCCCTTTCCCGCTTCCCCCTCCCCCCTTCGTCCCCCTTCGTTCCCCTTCCCAATCAGTTCATGATGCGCCTGGAGGTGCCAGAGGGGGCAGCAGCAGAGCTCCCGATAGAGAACAACCTCGCCTTCACTGCACTCCCCCCCCCTCCCTGCTGCCTTGCACCCCCCGTCTCTCCCCATCCTACTCCTGCCCCTCCCCTTTCCCCTCTCATCAGTTCATGATGCGCCTGGAGGTGCCAGAGGGGGCGGCAGCAGAGCTCCCAATCGAGTACAACCTTGCGTTCACGCCCGACCACGTGCCCATGCACGTCTTCTCCGAGTCTGTCAGTGGTGAGTTTGACTAGGGTCCTATGTATAGCACTATAGCACTAGGCCGCATTGCTTTAGAGGGCAAAGTGCAGCACAAGTTTGACATGCAGCCGCCCAGTGGGGACAGGGGGCATCGGCAGATGGCTGGGCGCACTCACAACCTCTCCCCCACCTCAACTGCATGCTGACCCCATTCTCTGTTTTTGAGGCGCCTCAAAAATCAGATGGCTGGGCGCACTCACCACCTCTCCCCTCCTCAACTGCACCCTGTCCCCCATTCTCTGTCGCCGTCTTCTGCACCTCGCTCAACGCAGGCCGCATGGCTTCAGAGGGCAAGGTGGAGCACGAGTTTGGCATGCAGCCGCCTAGTGGGGACCGAGGGTACCGGCAGATGGATAGGCGCACTCCCTGTTGCTGCCCTCATCTTTCTGTCCTTCTGCCCACTGCCGCGACATATCCCTGGCAGGTCGCATTGCCCTGGAAGGCAAGGTGGAGCACAAGTTTGACATGCAGCCGCCCAGTGGGGACCGGGGTACTGGCGGCAGATGCTGCAGACGGCTGGGCCCATTCACACCCTGTTCCATATCAGAGGTGTTTCTGATTGCCCAACCATCCTATGTTTGCTTCTGCGCCTCACTCAACGCAGGCCGCATTGCTTTGGAGGGCAAGGTGGAGCACAAGTTTGACATGCAGCCGCCCAGTGGGGACCGGGGGTACCGGCAGATGCTGCAGACGCGGGAGAAGAAATGGAACACACCCAAGCGCACGCTTCAGGTGGGAGGGGAATGGAGACGGCTGGGGATTAAACTTTTGGGCACGGGTGGGGGGAAGGGATGGGCATGGACAGGGGGTATCAGCAGATGCTGCAGACGCGGGAGAAGAGATGGAACACGGCCAAACGCTCGCTGCAGGTGGGTTAGTCGGTGGGGAGTGGAGGGGGTTGGTTGTGGGAGGGAGGGAATGGGTAGGAGGAATTAATTCAGAACATGACTCGTTTCACGCGGGTTTTGAGTTGATTTAAAACACATGCTGCAGGCGCGAGAGTTCGGAGATCCATCCTGGGCCTCTCCTCTTGCTCCTGACTGCCCACTTCTGGAATGTTTCTAACCGCTTCCCACCTTCCCCCACCTCGCCACCCTCCCTCTCACATCCCTCCCTTGTTGCCCCTGCTCCTTGTCGTTTTTCTACCCTCGTAGTCTCTTTGCTTACATTTTCCTTCTATTCTATTCCCTTCGTTTTCGCTCCTCAGCCCTTCGCTGCACAAGTGGGACCCATCAGGTGCCTCTGGCCCCCTGACTGCAATCACACACTGCCATGCCTCTGGCCCCTTGACCGCAATCACACGCTGCCATGCCTCTGCCTCTCTCTCTCTTTCTGCCCGCTTCCACTCTCTCTACTTCCTTTCTTCTCCCGTCTCTCCCCTCCTCTCATCCCTGCAGAAATGGGACCCATCAGGTGCTGCTGGTCCCCGTCTGCCCATGCCTGGCACCGTCACCAACGTCAAGGTGAGGGCAGCAGTGATGTGAGGGCAGCTTTAAGCGTGTGTTTCACACACTGCAGCCTTCTACCATGACCATGCCTGGTACTGGCCCCCGTCTGTAAATGCACAAGGCTCAACGGCTGTAATGTGTGCCGCTGGTCCCCGTCTGCCCATTTCTGTCACCAACGTCATGGTGAGGGCAGCAATGATGATGAGCACGTGATCATGCGAGGGCAGCCTTTAGTGTTTTCTTCACTCACTGCAGCCCTTCTGCTGTTTATGAGCCAAGGGGTGCGGCCTTTCGCTAATCCCTGTCTGCCCATGCCTGGGACCGTCACCAACCAACGTCAAGGTGAGTGAAGCAACAATGATGGTGAGAGTGTGATAATCTGAGGGAAGTGGTAATGTGAGGAAACACGCAGTGAGAGCATGTCTTCTGTTTGCCCTCATCGCCTCTCCCTTTCTCCACCAAACACCCCAACCCTCTTCCGCCCGTCACTTGTCTCCAGCGCAAGGCAGGCACGACAGCATCATGGCAGCAGGCGGCAGCAGCGGACAAGTAGTGCAAGCGAATGTTCAGGTTGAAATGCTAGAGATTCAAGCACTTTGTTTGTACCCTACTGCACCCCACTCTTTCCCCCCCGAAACCTCCCATCCACGCCCACCACCTCTCTCCAGCGCAAGGCAGGCACCACACCGGCGTGGCAGCAGGCGGCAGCAGCAAGGGCAGCGGATAAGGACAACAAGCGAGTGCGCATGTCGCGAGATGTGGTGGAGGCGAAGCTGTTTGCGCTCTTTGAGGAGCGCCCGCACTGGACGCTGAAACACCTGACGGATGCCACTCAGCAGCCACAGGTGAGGGGATGAGGGGGAGCAGGTGAAGGGGCACAGGTAAGCATGTGGGTGGTGGATGCACAGCAGGTAGGGGAACTAAGGTGCGCAGTGGGTGTGGTGGAGGCAATGCTGCATCCTTTCTTTGAGGAGTGCTTGCACTGGACGCTCAAGGACCTCACGGATGCCACACAGCAGCCGTAGGCTGGAGTGGTGCAGGCATAGCAGGTAGGGGTACTAGGGCGCGCATGTCACGAGATGTGGTGGAGGCAAAGCTCTTGGCTCTCTTTGAAGAACATCGCACTGGACGCTCAAGCACTTGACGGATGCCAGTCAACAGTTATAGGTGAGGGGATGCCACTCAACAGTTATAGGTGAGGGGATGCCACTCAACAGTTATAGGTGAGGGGATGCCAGTCAACAGTTATAGGTGAGGGGATGCCAGTCAACAGTTATAGGTGAGGGGATGCCACTCAACAGTTATAGGTGAGGGGATGCCACTCAACAGTTATAGGTGAGGGGATGCCACTCAACAGTTATAGGTGAGGGGATGCCACTCAACAGTTATAGGTGAGGGGATGCCACTCAACAGTTATAGGTGAGGGGATGCCACTCAACAGTTATAGGTGAGGGGATGCCAGTCAACAGTTATAGGTGAGGGGATGCCACTCAACAGTTATAGGTGAGGGGATGCCACTCAACAGTTATAGGTGAGGGGATGCCACTCAACAGTTATAGGTGAGGGGATGCCACTCAACAGTTATAGGTGAGGGGATGCCACTCAACAGTTATAGGTGAGGGGATGCCACTCAACAGTTATAGGTGAGGGGATGCCACTCAACAGTTATAGGTGAGGGGATGCCAGTCAACAGTTATAGGTGAGGGGATGCCACTCAACAGTTATAGGTGAGGGGATGCCACTCAACAGTTATAGGTGAGGGGATGCCAGTCAACAGTTATAGGTGAGGGGATGCCACTCAACAGTTATAGGTGAGGGGATGCCACTCAACAGTTATAGGTGAGGGGATGCCACTCAACAGTTATAGGTGAGGGGATGCCACTCAACAGTTATAGGTGAGGGGATGCCAGTCAACAGTTATAGGTGAGGGGATGCCACTCAACAGTTATAGGTGAGGGGATGCCACTCAACAGTTATAGGTGAGGGGATGCCACTCAACAGTTATAGGTGAGGGGATGCCACTCAACAGTTATAGGTGAGGGGATGCCACTCAACAGTTATAGGTGAGGGGATGCCACTCAACAGTTATAGGTGAGGGGATGCCAGTCAACAGTTATAGGTGAGGGGATGCCACTCAACAGTTATAGGTGAGGGGATGCCACTCAACAGTTATAGGTGAGGGGATGCCACTCAACAGTTATAGGTGAGGGGATGCCACTCAACAGTTATAGGTGAGGGGATGCCACTCAACAGTTATAGGTGAGGGGATGCCACTCAACAGTTATAGGTGAGGGGATGCCACTCAACAGTTATAGGTGAGGGGATGCCAGTCAACAGTTATAGGTGAGGGGATGCCACTCAACAGTTATAGGTGAGGGGATGCCACTCAACAGTTATAGGTGAGGGGATGCCACTCAACAGTTATAGGTGAGGGGATGCCACTCAACAGTTATAGGTGAGGGGATGCCACTCAACAGTTATAGGTGAGGGGATGCCAGTCAACAGTTATAGGTGAGGGGATGCCACTCAACAGTTATAGGTGAGGGGATGCCACTCAACAGTTATAGGTGAGGGGATGCCAGTCAACAGTTATAGGTGAGGGGATGCCAGTCAACAGTTATAGGTGAGGAAATGCCACTCAACAGTTATAGGTGAGGGGATGCCAGTCCACAATTATAGGTGAGGGGATGCCACTCAACAGTTATAGGTGAGGGGATGCCACTCAACAGTTATAGGTGAGGGGATGCCACTCAACAGTTATAGGTGAGGGGATGCCACTCAACAGTTATAGGTGAGGGGATGCCAGTCAACAGTTATAGGTGAGGGGATGCCACTCAACAGTTATAGGTGAGGGGATGCCAGTCAACAGTTATAGGTGAGGGGATGCCAGTCAACAGTTATAGGTGACGAGATGCCACTCAACAGTTATAGGTGAGGGGATGCCAGTCAACAGTTATAGGTGAGGGGATGCCACTCAACAGTTATAGGTGAGGGGATGCCACTCAACAGTTATAGGTGAGGGGATGCCACTCAACAGTTATAGGTGAGGGGATGCCAGTCAACAGTTATAGGTGAGGGGATGCCAGTCAACAGTTATAGGTGAGGGGATGCCACTCAACAGTTATAGGTGAGGGGATGCCACTCAACAGTTATAGGTGAGGGGATGCCACTCAACAGTTATAGGTGAGGGGATGCCACTCAACAGTTATAGGTGAGGGGATGCCAGTCAACAGTTATAGGTGAGGGGATGCCACTCAACAGTTATAGGTGAGGGGATGCCACTCAACAGTTATAGGTGAGGGGATGCCACTCAACAGTTATAGGTGAGGGGATGCCACTCAACAGTTATAGGTGAGGGGATGCCACTCAACAGTTATAGGTGAGGGGATGCCAGTCAACAGTTATAGGTGAGGGGATGCCACTCAACAGTTATAGGTGAGGGGATGCCAGTCAACAGACCAATAGTTATAGGTGAGGGGATGCCACTCAACAGTTATAGGTGAGGGGATGCCAGTCAACAGTTATAGGTGAGGGGATGCCAGTCAACAGTTATAGGTGAGGGGATGCCACTCAACAGTTATAGGTGAGGGGATGCCAGTCAACAGTTATAGGTGAGGGGATGCCACTCAACAGTTATAGGTGAGGGGATGCCACTCAACAGTTATAGGTGAGGGGATGCCACTCAACAGTTATAGGTGAGGGGATGCCAGTCAACAGTTATAGGTGAGGGGATGCCAGTCAACAGTTATAGGTGAGGGGATGCCACTCAACAGTTATAGGTGAGGGGATGCCACTCAACAGTTATAGGTGAGGGGATGCCACTCAACAGTTATAGGTGAGGGGATGCCACTCAACAGTTATAGGTGAGGGGATGCCAGTCAACAGTTATAGGTGAGGGGATGCCACTCAACAGTTATAGGTGAGGGGATGCCACTCAACAGTTATAGGTGAGGGGATGCCAGTCAACAGTTATAGGTGAGGGGATGCCACTCAACAGTTATAGGTGAGGGGATGCCACTCAACAGTTATAGGTGAGGGGATGCCACTCAACAGTTATAGGTGAGGGGATGCCAGTCAACAGTTATAGGTGAGGGGATGCCACTCAACAGTTATAGGTGAGGGGATGCCACTCAACAGTTATAGGTGAGGGGATGCCACTCAACAGTTATAGGTGAGGGGATGCCACTCAACAGTTATAGGTGAGGGGATGCCACTCAACAGTTATAGGTGAGGGGATGCCAGTCAACAGTTATAGGTGAGGGGATGCCACTCAACAGTTATAGGTGAGGGGATGCCACTCAACAGTTATAGGTGAGGGGATGCCACTCAACAGTTATAGGTGAGGGGATGCCACTCAACAGTTATAGGTGAGGGGATGCCACTCAACAGTTATAGGTGAGGGGATGCCAGTCAACAGTTATAGGTGAGGGGATGCCACTCAACAGTTATAGGTGAGGGGATGCCAGTCAACAGACCAATAGTTATAGGTGAGGGGATGCCACTCAACAGTTATAGGTGAGGGGATGCCAGTCAACAGTTATAGGTGAGGGGATGCCAGTCAACAGTTATAGGTGAGGGGATGCCACTCAACAGTTATAGGTGAGGGGATGCCAGTCAACAGTTATAGGTGAGGGGATGCCACTCAACAGTTATAGGTGAGGGGATGCCACTCAACAGTTATAGGTGAGGGGATGCCACTCAACAGTTATAGGTGAGGGGATGCCACTCAACAGTTATAGGTGAGGGGATGCCAGTCAACAGTTATAGGTGAGGGGATGCCACTCAACAGTTATAGGTGAGGGGATGCCACTCAACAGTTATAGGTGAGGGGATGCCAGTCAACAGTTATAGGTGAGGGGATGCCACTCAACAGTTATAGGTGAGGGGATGCCACTCAACAGTTATAGGTGAGGGGATGCCACTCAACAGTTATAGGTGAGGGGATGCCAGTCAACAGTTATAGGTGAGGGGATGCCACTCAACAGTTATAGGTGAGGGGATGCCACTCAACAGTTATAGGTGAGGGGATGCCACTCAACAGTTATAGGTGAGGGGATGCCACTCAACAGTTATAGGTGAGGGGATGCCACTCAACAGTTATAGGTGAGGGGATGCCAGTCAACAGTTATAGGTGAGGGGATGCCACTCAACAGTTATAGGTGAGGGGATGCCACTCAACAGTTATGGGTGACGGGATGCGAGTCAACAGTTCTAGGTGAGGGGATGCCACTCAACAGTTATAGGTGAGGGGATGCCAGTCAACAGTTATAGGTGAGGGGATGCCACTCAACAGTTATAGGTGAGGGGATGCCACTCAACAGTTATAGGTGAGGGGATGCCACTCAACAGTTATAGGTGAGGGGATGCCAGTCAACAGTTATAGGTGAGGGGATGCCACTCAGCAGTTGTAGGTGAGGGGATGCCACTCAACAGTTATAGGTGAGGGGATGCCACTCAACAGTTATAGGTGAGGGGATGCCACTCAACAGTTATAGGTGAGGGGATGCCAGTCAACAGTTATAGGTGAGGGGATGCCACTCAACAGTTATAGGTGAGGGGATGCCAGTCAACAGTTATAGGTGAGGGGATGCCAGTCAACAGTTATAGGTGAGGGGATGCCAGTCAACAGTTATAGGTGAGGGGATGCCACTCAACAGTTATAGGTGAGGGGATGCCACTCAACAGTTATAGGTGAGGGGATGCCACTCAACAGTTATAGGTGAGGGGATGCCACTCAACAGTTATAGGTGAGGGGATGCCACTCAACAGTTATAGGTGAGGGGATTCCACTTTACAGTTCTAGGTGAGGGGATGCCACTCAACAGTTATAGGTGAGGGGATGCCAGTCAACAGTTATAGGTGAGGGGATGCCAGTCAACAGTTATAGGTGAGGGGATGCCAGTCAACAGTTATAGGTGAGGGGATGCCACTCAACAGTTATAGGTGAGGGGATGCCACTCAACAGTTATAGGTGAGGGGATGCCACTCAACAGTTATAGGTGAGGGGATGCCAGTCAACAGTTAT